ATTACATTTTCATATAAAATCAACTTGAGTATTAAGTGCCTATAACATCTAACTCAATATTTTCAGCATTGATTTTCTACATAAAGTGAATAATTACGTGTAATTCTTTTTATGTGATTCGAGTGATGAATCTTGGATTCACACTGGTTTTTAGCTAGTTATCTCAATCTTGGAGATATCAAGGTTTATACTTACAATATGTCAATGAGTGTGATATAATTTTATTGATTTCAGTTTATTTGTCATCATTTGGAAATTAAAACACTGATTATTATAAGAAAACAAATTTGCAATGACCTTTCTATAAACCATAAGTAACAAAATGTTTTATACGGGATATTTTACTGCCCCAGAAAACTTTTGTATATTTAATAATGCCTCCTATGACATCACACTCATTAACATATTGGAAGTATAAACCATGATGTCTCCAAGATGCATCATTCAAACTATATAAAAATAATTTACCATTCAACTGCTCACTTCATGTAGAATCAATACTGAAAATATTGAGTTAGGTGATATAACAACTTTAACAACTCACAATTGACTCGTCTTCTTCCAGGACTTCGTCGTAGCTGCTAAGGGATGCAAAGAACACAACAGCCGTGACCCTATCAAAGAAATGGATCCACTTCTTGCGTTGACTCTTCTGACCTTCCACATCGATTACCCTACAACCACGCGTAAAGAAATCATCAGATAGTTACCTCGCAATGCATGCGATTCAACGTATGTGGCAACTGTACGTTGCCAAAACCTGGCATACATTACGTTTTCACACAACCTGCATTCTTSCTTTTCTTTTCGTTTTTTTCCTTTTTCACGTTCGTATTCGTTAATTCTAGTGTGTTTTACCTTTATTTGCTATTCGGTTGAACGAGCTTCTTTTAACTAAGAAGCAGTTTTGTTTATTGGAATGGAATTAGGTAAAGAGTAGAAAGCAAGCAGTTCTTGTATTTCCCTTGGTCACTGTTTGATATTTGCTTAGGTTGATTTATTGATTTAATTTGGCCGAGTGAGAATAAGTATTTAGTCAAATATTCCCAGAGAGGGGAATGAGGGACGAAAAATCACTTTTCCAAATCAAACACCATACAGAGACCAATGGAAATACAGTCGACTCTCCCGTAAGCGACCACCTCGGGGCCAGGAGTTTATATGGGAAACAAAACGGGAAATTCAAAAAGTGGTCGCTTACGGGAGATGGTCGCTTACGAGAGTGGTCGTTCAAAGAGAGTCAACTGTACACTGCTCGCAGTCTAAGCAAAGAGAATCCAGTGAAAATTGATTGATTACCCATCATGGACATTTCTGGAAGGGCGTCTTCCCTATTTCTATAGCGCCACAGCGGAGGAAATCATGTGCGAAATTTAAAGGGATTTTGGCTTTAAAACAGTACAAGTATGGTGTGGGGGCCTGGACCTACTCCTCACCCAATATTCAATCCAGCGCCACCAGATTTTTTAATATTCGTACTCAATCGTTCACAATGACTTAGGCTGACATCAAGACATGTGGCAGTGGAATGTTATGAAAAAGTCTTGATTAATGTCTATGAACGTCTACTTCGTCTAGACGGCAAATTGTACTATTTGGCGCCAATTATTCAGAAAGACTGTAAAGTATAATCGAAAAATATTTACCTATAATTGTACTCATTGACTTTAATTTTTTTTTCCACTACCCCTTGCGTTCTATTTCGAGCTCGTAGTATATCTTTCGATTCAGGAACATAATCTTCTTTGGCTATTCGTTCAATTTCTGCAAAGAAACTATGAAAACGGAAACTATTAGGCTCATGACGAAGCCGCAGGATGCAGAAAAACGTCAATACCAAACACGATAAATAAATTCCGTATTCATGAGGTCATTCGAAAACTAACGCTTTTTTGGCATTAACCATAGTAGTTTAGTGAAAGTTCTAAAGATGAGGCAAGGCGAGGGGGGTGGGTATATCACCTGTTAAGAAAACTTTAGTCGCAAAAATGCAAACAGTTGCAGTAACATAAAGGCGCACGCATACGATGCGAGGTTGCAAGCGACGTCGCAACAATTAGTCGAATTTTTTTACTTCTGCGATCAACATTGCATGCAATGCTTAGCACCGTGTGACACCCAAAAAATAGTCTTACATGCAATGGTTGCATCGTGTGTCTGCACCTTGAAGGCACAAATACCACGTTTGGGATGTATGACTTACTATTGTGAAGTCTCATCGATGTGATATCGTGTAAGCTTTTTGAAGCATTCCTTGACACATGGCTGCTGCCAGAATGCAGTTATAAGGTCAGTCTTCCCGACTGGCGTAAATACGGAATTGCCGTTATTGTTGCATTCATTCTTTGACTGCGTTATACATTCTTCAGCAAACATCTAGGAAACAAAAGAAATGCCATAAACAGTCTATTGAATAATCTATGCTATAAATAGACTATTGGACAAATTTGCATCATAGTGTCATTTATTGGTTACAGCTATTTCAAAAATGGTCGAAGGAATGAACGGCGATAGGTACACCTTTTGCTGTTCATTAACAGAAAATGTACATTCATTTGTGCCAATAGTTGTATCAATAACGCGTAATGTACTTTCATCAACACCACAAGTAACATCATTAGCGCGGATCAACTTTCAATAACGACAATTGAATATGCGTGTACATTCATAGGCATCAATGGACAATCAATAGCGCGTTTGTACATTCATATGCGCGGAATGTATTTTCGTTTGCGCGAAATTCAACTTCAGTAACACCAAATGACAAACAATAGCATTTATGGACTATCATTTACCTAAAAGTGAAAATTCATTAGTGCTATTAGCATAACCATTGACAATCTATAACGCGTTTGGACAATCATGAAGGTCAATGTTATATTCTATAGCGTGGTTCAACAAACATTTGCATGATTCGAATGAACAATAAGAGAAAAAAAACAATCATTAGCGATTTTTTATTTATTTTAGCCTTTAATTTCTTCGCCATTCATACATCGTGGCAAATACGTTTGCATATAACTGAACCACAGACCACATTTAGCGATAGTGATAGTTGCCACATTTCTCTGGAACCCTTCCATTAGCAACTGCGTTCTGTAGTGACCTAGAGCAATCCCTTGTGGTCTTGCCTCAGCCCGATCGTTCGTATGTTGTTGGATCTCTGGACGGCTGATGTCGTCTTTGATTGCTGCTTTAAGTGAGCTAATTGCTACGCAGCCGCTATTATGGAAGCAGTTACCTGAGTTTTTTATATGTTTTAAAGTGATTTAAAAAAATCGCTAATGATTGTTTTATTTCTCTTATTGTTCATTCGAATCATGCAAATGTTTGTTGAACCACGCTATAGAATATAACGTTGACCCTCATGATTGTCCAAACGCGTTATAGATTGTCAATGGTTATGCTAATAGCACTAATGAATTTTCACTTTTGGGTAAATGATTGTCCATAAATGCTATTGTTTGTCATTTGGCATTATTGAAGTTGAATTTCGCGCAAACGAAAATACATTCCGCGCATATGAATGTACAAACGCGCTATTGATTGTCCATTGATGCCTATGAATGTACRCGCATATTCAATTGTCGTTATTGAAAGTTGATCCGCGCTAATGATGTTACTTGTGGTGTTGATGAAAGTACATTACACGTTATTGATACAACTATTGGCACAAATGAATGTACATTTTCTGTTAATGAACAGCAAAAGGTGTAATAAGTGGTAGATGATAGGACGTAGGTCATTCCAAGATGCAAAAATAGCTAGGCTTACTTGTACTTCTTTTCATTATTCTTGTCAACGACATATGTTATTGCTGAGATATTCAGTATTCCCATAGTGGACAAATCATTTAAAACAACTTGATTATTGGTGTCAAGATGCATGCCCACTGTATCTTTCGGTCGTGCAATCGACAATCACAGTTTGCCATTTGCCGTTCGTCCATCAATAGTTTTTGAAAGGGTGTATTGCGGTAAAACAATCTACCTGAATCAGTTAATTGGTCCCCCTGAAATAGGTCCCGTCTATACGTGTCCCGATAATTTGGAAACGGAACTTTTAATTCCGTAACTACTCCGCGCGTTTCTAATCGTTCTTTTTTTTTTTTTTTTTTTTTTTGACTGTATATAACAAATCTTATTTTTTCCATGACGAGATTGAATAAGAAAGATCACAAAGCATCTTGTTATAGAGGTTTTGCACCATCACGTGCCTACGACCATAATACAGTTTGGGATGCCTGTGGTTCGATGGTAGAACCATAAAATCCCCTTGTGCTCTAATGTAAAATGTGAAGGCACTTTGTAAACCAGTCTATGACTGAAAGTTTAAACCTTCGTTAAATAAAGCTTTTATTATTATTATTATTACTATTATTATTATTATTATGTAAAAAAATCTAACATGGCTGCTGTCACGTGTTAATGCAAAACCTCTTTTGAAGGTGAAGTTACGTAATGCTTCAGACAAACTATTGTAGAATAATTTTAGACTTGAATGCCGAGTTTCGCGCGTTGTGATTGGTGATTCTGAGAAGATAATCACAGCTCCAGCGATGATTATAAGTTTTCAAATATTTGCCAGAGCGGAAGAAATACTAAAACGTTTTGTAATCTTAAATTTCTCCTTTTTTCCCCCTGATATTCAAGTCTAAGATTATTCTAAATCAATTGTTTACCTCGGGCTCAGTAAATATGGGGAATATTTACCTCGCCGCTCACTTTGCCTTCGGCGGATAATCGTGAAATATTTAACAATTATTCGCCGAAGGCGAAGTCAATATCGGGGAATATTTCCCCGATATTCGCTGAGGCTGAGGCAAATAATTGTTTTAGTACAAATACACAGGTAATTCTTTCAATAAAAGAAAAGAAAAGACATTTTCCCGGTAACAGCAACAAAGCGGCTGGACGCCATGTTGGATTTTCGCTGGAGGTGATTATCGTGTGAGTTTCTCGACCAATCAGCGCGCGAGATTTTCAATAATCACCTGTGTATTTTCACTAAATTGTAATTGAATATAAACATGGGTTGGTGTTTGCGCTAACATAGCAGATATACAGTGGGGTCGAGTTCTGGCTTTTGCAACGTTGCGCGCAACTAGTTTCATGTAAACACAAAAGGCAACGCTCTCGTCCAATCAGAACGTTTATTATCATTGTCAGTTATGGTGCCGTTACTGAATTCAAAGCTAATAGGCTGCAAGAAAACCTGCAACGTGTGATGCCCCTTTAAAACCTTGTTAAAAAAAGAATAAGGCGCCAGATTTACACGGTACGGTTTTTTCTCACCACCGTCGCGCACAACATGCTTAAACCAAGATGTGCCGTGGAATTTAGAAAGTAACAAATACGCTTTGTCTCACGATTGTATAACAGATACAGCACGGAGGCTTGTTCCCAATCTGGCGGGCAATTCCCAATCAAATCGGAATTTGGTTTCTGTGGAGGGAGGAAAAGCGGGTCCGAAGGAAAAACCTCGAAGCATAGGAGAGAACCAACAAACAACTCTACTTACATAGCAAAGCCGAGCACGAATCGAACTTGGGTCGCATTGTTAAGAGGCCAAGGCGACACATTTGCAGTGAACGCCACCCGTGCTTCACAATATAAACGACCGAAGCCATTCGTGTCGTTAGCGTGTTGCGTGCAAAAGGTGTGAGAAAAACTGTACCGTATTCTCTACTTTCACATCCCCATATTACTTTGTGTCTTTGGGGATAACCAGAGGGTAAAAACCCACTTATTTTGCTGAAGGCTGATCAGACAATGTTGACAATACCTTTTTTGGTATCCAAAAATAAAATGAAGAAATAAAAAAACAGAAAAAGATAGAAGCTTGAAGACGTTTAAGGCAAATTTTAAACATTTTTTCGCAAGTCAATACATGATGATCTGTCATTGACACGCAAAAATAACTTGGTATAAACTGATAATCAGTATTGTACAGATAAAAGCAGGCATAATATAAATTTAATTAAGAAACCTTTCAATTTGGGACAGTTTTTTGATGGGTGATGGAGATGGAGATGTGAAAGTGGAGAATAAATCGGCCTTAATATTTAACACAGGAAGCCCAATTAATATCGTACGTCATATGATAATAAAGGCTATGAATAATATGATTCGACGAGTAATGCAAGCATGGACATAGACTGACTAATTGTAATAAAGAGAAATTCACCGTGACATTCCGGATGCAATATACAGCTATTTCAAAACAGATTAATACAGCTATTGAAAAAATAAGGCTGTGGAAGGTTTGGTTTCATGTTGCATACCAAGCTTGAAATGTATTATATCCTTGTGTAAATAAAGAACAGTTTGGGTCAGTGAACTTGGTTATTTACTAAAGACTTTCTTATTTACCTTTACGTCTTCGTTGTCAAACTGCAGACCCTCTCGATCAACTGCCAGAACGATTTTACAGATGTTCTCATAAATGTTTTGGTATATGATGGGGCGAAATTCCATTCTCTCTTGCTCGGTATATCCATTGTCGTACAAGATTTTTAGTTGTTTTATAAAAGTACTTTTACCTGAGCCACCAGAACCTAGATTATAGACAGAAACAGAAGCTAGAGGTATGAAAAATAATGAAACTGAATAGAGTACGTATACACTCAAATGAGGTTTTGCACTATCACGTGATGGCAGCCATGACAGGAGGCACAACAATAGAATCTTTCTCTTCTGATAACTGAATTCTTTCTTATGTAATCACATTAGACCAGATTCAATTGTTTCTGCCTCCTGTCATGACTGCCATCGCGTCACGGTGCAAAGCCTCAATTACAAAATCATTGTCGGGTTCAAAACATAAGAATTGAAAAAACTGAGAATAAATGCTACGTGGTAAGATACTGCAATTTTCATAACATGCGAACACTGTGTTTCTGAGTTGCACGCTGAATTTTTTTTTTTTT